TATGTTTTATTTCTCTGGAGTAGATCCGTAGGAATGGAATTGCTGAGTTGTATAAAAAATTATACTTAACCTTTCAAGCAACTAAAAAATGGTTTTCTGGCCAGGCGCGGTGGCTCACACTTGTAATCCTAGCACTTTGGGAGGCCTAGGCGGGTGGATCACCTGAGGTCAGGAGTTCGAGATCAGCCTGGCCAACATGGCAAAACCCTGACTCTACTAAAAATAAAAAAAAAATTAGCCAGGCATGCTGGTGGGTGCCTATAATCCCAGCTGCTCAGGGGGCTGAAGCAGGAGAATCGCTTGAACCTGGGGGGCAGAGGTTTCAGTGAGCTGATATCATGTCAATTCACTACAGCCTAGGCGAAAGGGCGAAACTCCTGTCTCAAAATAAATAAATAAATAAAAAATAAAAAATAAAAAATGGTTTTCCAAAATGGTTATATACTAACTCACATTCCCACAGGTAAGGAATGAGAATTCTTGTTTCACTACTTCCCTGCTACCACGTGTTACTGTTTGTCTTTTTGATTATAGCCTTCCTGGCGGATGTGAAATGGTATCTCATTATGTTTTAAATTTGCATTTCCTTAATGACTGACAATATGAAGCATCTTTTCATTTGCCATTTGTATATCTTCTTTGAAAAATGTCTGTTGAGGCCCCGGGCGCGGTGGCTTACGCCTGTAATCCCAGCACTTTGGGAGGCCGAGGCAGGTGGACCATGAGGTCAGGAGATCGAGACCATCCTGGCTAACACGGTGAAACCCCGTCTGGTACAAAAAATTAGCCGGGAGTAGTGGCGGGCGCCTGTAGTCCCAGATACTCGGGAGGCTGAGGCCGGAGAATGGCGTGAACCCGGGAGGCGGAGCTTGCGGTGAGCCGAGATCGCGCCACGGCACTCCAGCCTGGGCGACAGAGCGAGACTCCGTCTCAAAAAAAAAAAAAAAAAAAAGCAGAAAAAAGAAAGTTACAGTTGAAACTGAGAAGTGAGAGTGTGGGTAGGTAGAACAGGCGATCTCTTCAATCACAGTTATTGCACTTTTCAGAATAGAGGTAAGGACATCCTCGGGCAGTAGCTTTCCTGGTTTCCATGTTGACCACTCCCAGCCATCATAGGGAAGGTACATAGCAAATTGATGTGAACGCAATCCCAAAAAGAAAAAAGACAAATGTCTATTGAAATCTTTTGCTCATTTAAAGATGGAGTCTTTTTAAAGAGTTCTTTGTATATTCTGGGTACAAGTTTTTTTGCAATGTATGTGATTCGCAAATACTTTCTCCTATCTGTAGCTTTTCTCTCCCTTCCCTTCCCTTCCCTTCCTTCCCCTCCCCTCCCCTCCCTCTCTTTTCTTTCTTTCTTTCTTTCTCTTTCTTCTCTTTTCTCCTTCCTTCCTTCCTTCCTTTCTCTCTCTCTCTCTCTCTTTCTTTCTTTCTTTCTTTCTTTCTTTCTTTCTTTCTTTCTTTTTCTCTTTTTCTTTCTTTCTTTCTTTCCTTTCCTTCTTTCTTCTTCTTCTTCTTTTTTTTTCTCTGTCGCCCAGGCTGGAGTGCACTGGCACAATCTTGGCTCACTGCAACTTCCACCTTCCAGGTTCAAGTGATTCTCCTGCCTCAGCCTCCTGAGTAGCTGGGATTACAGGTGCCCACCACCACGCCTGGCTAGTTTTTGTGTTTTTAGTTTTTGCCACGTTGGCCAGGCTTGTCTCCAACTCCTGACTTCAAATGATCCGCCCCCCTTGGCCTCCCAAAGTGCTGGGATTACAGGCATGAGCCACCTTGCCTGGCTGCTTTTCATTACCTTAATGGTGTCTTTTGAGTGCAAATGTTATTTCTTAAAATACATTTTATTTTCCACTCTGTGCAACATAGCAAGACCCCCTTCTCTACAATTCAAAAAAAATTGGCCAATTATGGTGGCATGTGCCTTTAGTCTCAGCTACTTGGGAGGCTGAGGCAGGAGGATCACTTGAACCCAGGAGTTCAAGGCTGCAGTGAGCTATAATCACACCACTGCACTCCAGGTTGGGTAACAGAGTAAGGTCCTCTCTCTAAAGAAACAAAAGAATACCTTTTTATTTGGAAATAATCAAGGGTTCACAGGAAATTGCAAGAATGGTAGAGAGATGTCCCACGTATCCTTCACCCAGTTCCTCCTCAACCCCAAAATAATGAATTTTGGTTAAGTCAAATTTGTTAATTATTTTTCTTTTATGGATCATGCTTCTTGGGTCATATCTAAAAAGCCTTTGCTGAACCCAAGGTTTTACTATTTTCTCATATGCTTTATTCTAAATTTTTATAGCTTCAGCTCTTACATTAATGTCTCTGGTTCATTTTGAATGAAGTTTTGTATAAGGTGTAAGGTAAGGGTCTAAGTTAATCTTTTTTTTTGTATGTGGATATCCAATTGTCCCATTATCATTTGTTGAAAAGATACTATTTTCTCTATCTATGACACAGAGTTTTGCTCTGTTGCCCAGGCTGGAGTGCAGTGGCATGATCTTGGCTCACTGCAACCTCCACCTCCCAGGTTTAAGAGATTCTCCTGCCCCAGCCTCCTGAGTAGCTGGGATTACAGGCGCATGCCACTACACCTGGCTAATGTTTGTATTTTTAGTAGAGACGGGGTTTCACCATGTTGGCCTGGCTGGTCTTGAACTCCTGAACTCAAGTGATCCACCTGCCTCAGCCTCCCAAAGTGCTGGGGATTACAGGGGTAAGCCACCGTGCCTGGCCTTATTTTCTCTATCAAACTGACTTGGCACCTTTGTCAAAAATCAATTAACCATAAATATTAGAGTTTATTTCTGGACTCTCAAATCTGTTCCTTTGATCTATATATTTATATCTTGTATTAGTACTAAATGGTCTTGATAACTTTAGCTTTATAGTAAGTTTTAAAATTAGGAAGTAAAAGTTTTCCAACTTTGTTTTTAAAAAATTATTTGCTATTCTGGGTCTTTTCAATTGCATATACACTTTGGGTACAGCTTGTCAATTTCTGCAAAAACCCTGCTGGAATTTTGATGAAGACTAAGTTTAATGCATGCATCAATTTGGGGAGAATTGTTATCTTAACAATATTGAATGAATTTTCCAATGATCATGGAATGTCTCTCCAATTATTTAGATCATCTTTAATTTCCCCCAGAATGCTTTGAAATTTTCAATGTACAAGTTTTATAATTCTTTTGCTAAATTCATTTGTATTTTATTCTTTTTAATACCATTGTGAATGGAATTTTCTTGTTTTCATATTGTTCATTGCTCATATACAGAAATACCATATACCTTTTTTTTTTTGAGATGGGGTCTCACTTTGTTGCCCAGGCTCCAGTGCAGTGGTTATTCACAGGCAAGACCACATTGCACTATAGCCTCAAACTCCTGACCTCAAGTGATCCTCCTACCTCAGCCTCCCAAGTAGCTGAGACAAAAGTATGGGTCATCTCCACTGAGCCCAGCCTTCCGTGTATTTTTGCATATTGATATTGCAACCTGCAACCTTGCTGAACTTATTAGTTCTAACGTGTGTATATTCCTGAGGGTTTTCTGCATAAAGAACCATGTTATCTGCAAATAAAGACTTCCTTTCTAATCTGGATGCCTTTTATTTTTACTTCTTGTATGGTTGCCCTGGCTAGTACATCCAGTACGATGTTGAACAGAAGTTGCAAGAGCTGACATGCTTGCATTATTCCCGATCTTAGGGTAAAATAATTCAGTTTTTCATCATTAAGTATGATATTAGCTGTAGGTCTTTCATAGATGCCTTTATCATGTTCTCTTTCAAGTTTGAGAATTTTTATTATGAATTGGATTTTGTCAAATGCTTTTTCTGCATTTATTGAGATGATAGTGTAACCAAGGAATTGTGAAAAAAGATGAGAATATGGTTTTGATACTTTATTAATATAGTATGTTATGTTAATTGATTTTAGGATATTAAACCATCTGTGCATTCCTGGGATGTCAGTTGGCCAGAGTATATAATCCCTTTTATATGTTGCTGGATTCAGGATCAAACTGAATTTTAAAAATATACTGACTTTGGAAGAAATTCAGAAATTCGTTAAGTGAAGTGGCCTCCTTATAAAAATCTTGATGGTTTTAATGATATTCTTAAAAATTAGAAAGTTCAGGCCGGGCACGGTGGCTCAAGCCTGTAATCCCAGCACTTCGGGAGGCCGAGACGGGCGGATCATGAGGTCAGGAGATCAAGACCATCCTGGCTAACACCCCGTCTCTACTAAAAAATATAAAAAACTAGCCGGGTGAAGTGGCGGGCGCCTGTATCCCAGCTACTCAGGAGGCTGAGGCAGGAGAATGGAGTGAACTCAGGGGGCGGAGCTTGCAGTGAGCTGAGATCCGGCCACTGCACTCCAGCCTGGGCGACAGAGCAAGACTCCATCTCAAAAAAAAAAAAAAAAAGAAAGAAAGTTCAAATATCAATATCTTTTGTCATTAGGACTAATAACCCAAAAGCTTCAAAAATAATTATATTAAGTATAATTAATATGCCAATTAACAATGTAGAATGTTTTCAAACTATGAAGTTTTTAAACATGCAAATATTTTATTGACTTAAATAAGGGAAAGTCTGTTAGCTTTTGTGAAAGTTCATTCATTTCTTAATGATGTTTTTCAAGACCAGTATTTATTTTGTTTCACCATTACAATTATAGACTAAGAATCTCATAATCTTTCTAAACATAAAAATTCAGACAGTTTACATTACGAAATTTGTATGTATGTATGTATGTATGTATGTATATATTTAGATGGAGTTTTGCTCTTGTTGCCCAGGCTGGAGTGCAATGGCGCATTTGTGGCTCACCACAACCTCTGCCTCCCGGGTTCAAGTGATTCTCCTGCCTTAGCCTCTCGAGTAGCTGGGATTGTGGGCATGGGTTACCACACCCAGCTAATTTTTTGTATTTTTAGTAGAGACGAAGTTTCACCATGTTGGTTGGTCAGGCTGGTCTTGAACTCCTGACCTCTGAGGCTGGGATTACAGGTGTGAGCCACCGTGCCCAGCATGAAATTTTAATAGCTAGTCTTCGTTTTGAACAGTGAACATTATAGATCTATCCCCTAATTCATCCTTTTTTTTCAAAATTAGTTTATAAAGGTCTCTCTCTTTTTCACAAGCTAGAAAGTATCCTTCGTATGATGAAGATTCAAATTGCATCTTATTATCATGTCCTGGGACACTTCTCTGAAAGAATATGATGTCACTTTTCGCATCCTTGATGTTATCAGGAGGATTCATTTCCTATAGAGAAAAAAACATTACCTAATTATTTCAGGACATGAACAATTTGAATATATGAAGTTTGTTTTGAAGTATGTTACTGAACAGAACAAAAGTAGTTTTGCTTCTCAAGAGTTACACAAAAAAATCTCTGAACAGCAATACTGACCTCCTCTCCTTCTTAACTCCGAATCTCCTATTCTCCCTGTCATGGGATGCATATTCAGGTCCAGGACTCTAGTTTTCCTCTGTCCATCAAACAGCTTACTTCTCTCCTCTCCCATTGAGTGGTGTCCACATTTGCTCAAGATGAAGTAGAGTTCCAGCAAAGACCAGAAGCTTTTTGGGCTAATGTCAGTTCCTGTCCTCTATAACCATTCACAACTAAAGACATTGATGATCTCCTCCCATAAATTTAGGCTAGTTCTAGTTTCCTTTTATTTTTGCTTTGAGACAGGGTCTCGCTCTGTTGCCCAGCCTGAAGTGCAGTGGTGAAATCATAGCTCACTGCAGCCTTGAACTCCTGGGCTCAAGCAATCCCCCTGCCTCAGCCTCCTGAGTAGCTGGGACTGTAAGTACGTGCCACCACATTTGGCTCATTTTTAAAATTTATTTTTGTAGAGAAGGGGTCGGGGGTACCTCACTTTGTTGCCTAGGCTGGTCTTGAACTCCTGGCCTCAAGTGATCCTCCCACTTCGGCCTCTCAAAGTGCTGGGATTCCAGGTGTAAGCCACCATGCCTAGCCTGGCCAGTTCTCATTTCTGAGCCAACTGTGAGAGAGACAGGAAGTGCCAGGAATCTTAGCTTACTCTTTCAGTGGAGCCTGAAATTAAAACTGATGGTGAATAGACCCAATACTTGTTGTAGGGCTAGGGCCTGGGTTCCTGTATAAACCTGCTGTATTGGCTCAGTTGGCAGTCCTTGACTCTGTCTCCCTGCCAAGTACTCCAGTTCCATGGCAGTCTTGAATTTCTGTCCTGAATATGGTCTACTTGGCTGGGTCCTGCCCTAGAAGGCCAAATGCAGATTCCTGTATGTTTCAGTTACAGAATAGGGTCCTGTGAGAAATGGTTAGATTACTTGAAACTATAATCTTGCAGGTTATCCAACTGGTAGTGCTGCCTGCACTTTTCCTGTTAGTGCAGCATGTCTATTTTGCAGGATGGATCAGAACATGTGGGCACCACCTATGTTTCTTCCATGTTAATCCTGGAACCAGTAGATGTTTTGGATTTAATTTTGGCCTCATGGCAGCACAGATTCCCATGATCCCAAGCACTGATAGAGAAACCTCCAGAATTAAAATAGCATTTCTTCATCCTCCTAAGATGCCTGAAAGACTCTGGGCGGTGGAGGCTGGGGAGTTACCTCCAACTTCTCAATCAGTTGTGGAATCGATAGTCATAACTCTTGACCTTTGTTCTTCACCAACAAGTGTGGGTCCTAAGTTGATGAAAGTATAAACTAGTTTCCCTATTGGCACCCACTTCTGCAGCTGTCTACAATATACCACAATTTAGGAAGAGACCCTAAGCTGTGGGCATCAATTTGGAACTAATCTGAAATCTAATGTATAAGTGAGAAATAATCCATAGCCAAAACTTCAAAAGCTCTAGTAACATTACAGAGGAAGATGAACCAGTATAGAAAGTTACAGTTGAGCCAGGCGCGATGGCTCACGCCTGTAATCTCAGCACTTTGGGAGACCAAGATGGGCGGATCACAAGGTCAGGAGATCGAGACCATCCTGGCTAACACAGTGAAACCCCGTCTCTACGAAAAATACAAAAAATTAGCTGGGCGTGGTGGTGGGTGCCTGTAGTCCCAGATACTTGGGAGGCTGAGGTGGGAGAATGGCGTGAACCCAGGAGGCAGAGCTTGCAGTGAGCCGAGATCGTGCCACTGCACTCTAGCCTGGGCGACAGAGCGAGATTCTGTCTCAAAAAATAAATAAATAAATAAAATAAAATAAAATAAATAAAATAAAAAAGACAGTTACAGTTGAAACTGAGACGTGAGAGTGTGGGTAGGTAGAACAGGCGATCTCTTTAATCACAGTTATTGCACTTTTCAGAATACAGGTAAGGACATCCTTGGGCAGTAGCTTTCCTAGTTTTGATGTTGACCACTCCCAGCCATCATAGGGAAGGCACATAGCAAATGGATGTGAAAGCAATCCCAGTGACCTTGGAGAACCCCCAACTTGGAAAGCCCTACCTGGTGAAACTTGAGTGCTCCAAGGGGCAAAGGATTTTTTTTTTTTTTTTTTTTTACTTCAGAAGGGGTTGAATCTGAATCCAGGGAAAGTTGATATTGACCTAAGATCTCCCAAGTGCACTGGAAAGTCTGAGGGAACCCTGGCCAAGCCTGGATATAGATACATATATACGTATATATGTATATATATGAAACAGACACTGACAGTAACCTCTCAAAGCAAATCCCTCTTTGTGTTGTCAAGGTTCTTGACCAGAGAACTTTATAGGACTTTATAGCTAGTAATCAACAGTGAAAGGTGAGCACATTAGGGCAGCCAGTTGTGTCTTTTTATCTTTTTCTTTTTTTTGAGATGAAGTCTCATTCTGTCGCCCAGGCTGGAGTGCAGTGGTGCGATCTCGGCTCACTGCAGCCTACGCCTCCTGAATTCAAGCGATTCTCCTGCCTCAGGCTCACGAGTAGCTGGGATTACAGGTACATGCCACCATGCCTGGCTAATTTTTTTTTTTTTTTTTTTTTTTTAGTGGAGACGAGGTATCATCATGTTGGCCAGGCTGGTCTTGAACTCCTGATCTCAAGTGAGACATTCGCCTTGCCCTCCCAAAGTGCTAGGATTATAGGCATGAGCCACTGTGCCTGGCCTGTTGTATCTTATTATCTAGAACCTAGGCCACTTTTATAACCACTGCTAAGATCCTTACTAGTGGCAGGAAAAGGGATTAAAGACAAGGGCTAAAACTGGTCCTAGTCCACCCCTCGCTCTCTCCCTCCCTCCAATATTTACTGAGTTCCTTCCAGAAGCACATTTGCTATGATGCTGATGAAGCTTCAATGTCAGATTCCCTCATTTGCACAGATCTCTTCAAGCCACCCCTCACCCACCCTTTTTAAAAGTTGAATTAAATTATTAAGCTTACGCCTTTGGTAATTTTACATTCTTTTTTTTTTTTTTGAGACTGAGTTTCGCTTTTGTTGCCCAGACTGGAGTGCAATGGCACGATCTCGGCTCACCGCAACCTATGCCTCCCAGGTTCAAAAGAGTCTCCCGCCTCAGCCTCCCGAGCAGCTGGAATTACAGGCATGCGCCACCACGCCCAGCTAATTTTGTGTTTTTAGTAGAGATGGGGTTTCTCCATGTTGGTCAGGCTGGTCTTGAACTCCTGAATTCAGGTGATCTGCCCACCTCGGCCTCCAAAAGTGCTGGGATTACAGGCATGAGCCACCACGCCCAGCCACGTTCTTTTTCTTTAAAAGGACCATCAAAATTGTATAAGCTTCAGGCTCCCCCAAATATGGATTTGCCCAGTTCCTACTAAGTGCCAAGCATTATTTCCATCTTCTTAACCTTGTCACCAGTCTCCCCCAACAAGAATCCACCTATAGGTTTGGACTTATCCCAGTTTCTGAATCTGCCTCTGCGCTGAGTTTTCCTCTATCCCACATAGTTTGAGCTTGGCCATCTCCTTCCCTTCTAATTATGTTGCTCAGTAACAGCATGCTTAACCCCTTGCACCCTACCCTTCCATCCCAGGCGTCTTATGCCATTTTGATAACTAAGCTGCCTGCCTATCAGGTCTAGAATGGGGACTCCAAATTGTCACCTGAAGGGGTGGCACTCTGGTTGGAAGGAGATGGCTGAGGGATTTGTCTGGGTGCTGTATCTGTTGCATATGCACTGTTCTCACTTGGATTATATTTTGGAGTGGCTTTTTTCTCCCTCCCAAATTGCCCCTTGGTACCTTCACTAAGGTCATATCCTAACTGTCTTTTAGTGGGGACTGGGTGGGCATGAAAGCAGTTATTTACTGGCAAATCTCCACTCAAAAAGAGTCTTCATGACATGGAATTCTCCTCTGAAGCATTGCCAATTTCTAAGCATCCCTGGCTACTCTTACTGGGAGGAAATTTTTCTAGCTCAGTCTGTAGCTATAATTAATTGTGGTTTATCTAACAATAATGGAGGAAATAGAGAAAAATAATGGAGAATAATAGAGAAAAAGTAGAGGCCAGAAATACTTTATACCTGGCTTTCAGATTATTATAGCATTGCTTTTACAGCTGATCTCATAAATTTTATTCAATTAGATTAACATTAAAAATAACATACATCAACTGGAAGCTGAAGCTTATGTTTGAGACTTAGACTAAGGATCAGGAACAAAACAACTACAGATTAAAATAGTATTATGATTTCCAAAGGAGTAGAAATATAGAAGGATAATTAGCTTCATTCTTCATAGCAGAACTTATTCTGGAAAGTCACATGTTATTCTTAAATGTATAACTCACATATGTGTTCTATATTATTATTTGTATAAAGACTGATTATTCAGGAGATGCAGGTCATAAAACAAGTATTGTATCTCCTCCTCCCTGTGACAGGCTCAGAAAAACCATCGTTATCACGATAGGTAAAGAGTTTGGGGCCAGGCGCGGTGGCTCAAGCCTGTAATCCCAGCACTTTGGGAGGCCGAGGCGGGCGGATCACGAGGTCAGGAGATCGAGACCGTCCTGGTTAACACGGTGAAACCCCGTCTCTACTAAAAAATACAAAAAACTAGCCGGGCGAGGTGGTGGGCACCTGTAGTCCCAGCTACTCGGGAGGCTGAGGCAGGAGAATGGCGTAAACCCGGGAGGCGGAGCTTGCAGTGAGCTGAGATCCGGCCACTGCACTCCAGCCTGGGCGACAGAGTGAGACTCCGTCTCAAAAAAAAATAAATAAAATAAAAAAAAAATAAAAATAAAAATAAAAGAGTTTGATACTTTTTAGTAAGTATTCATTTTAATGGTTCTCTGCTTCTTGTTATTTCTGTTTTAGGCAAAATGTTGGTCTGAGGATATTTGAGTTTTCTAATTATATTATTTATATTAACATTAGAAATAATGTTCTATTTCTAATTATATTAATTATATTAACATGATTGAAAACAAAGTAAGGCTCAGTCTTACCTTAAAGGAAATAATTCTGTTCTCACAGGAGAGAGTTGAAATTTTCCCACATTTCACAGAGATGGCTACAGCCATACCTCTAGGCTGGCTATCTTTATACATATTTATAATAAATATGGTCCGGGGTGCATTATCTGAAATAAATACGATAAACGAGAACTCTAGTTAGAAGAATTTTTGCACAGGAACATTTGTGGAAATTTAACCAAAGGATAGTCCTTAATACACCTGTTCCCACTTTGAGACTTGGCCAGTCTGCAGGAGACTACGTACAGCTGGTCAGACATTTTTTAAAACACAGTTCAGGCCTGGCACAGTGGCTCGTACCTGTAATCCCAGCATTGAAAAGTTAAAAACAACCTTTTAGAATCCCTATCATTAAAATACTCAAAAGAGTTGCAGCATGTGCGTTGTAACACATATTAAACTGTGGGGTTGTCTGTTTGTTTGGGAGGCTGAGGCAGGCAGATCACTTGAGGTCAGGGGTTTGAGACCAGCCTGGCCAACATGGTGAAACCTCAACTCTACTAAAAATACAAAAATTAGCTGGGTGTACGTGGTGCATGCCTGTAGTCCCAGCTACTGAGGCTGGGAGGCTGAGGCATGAGAATTGATTGAACCTAGAAGCGCAGGTTGTAGTGAGCCGAGATCGCACCACTGCAGTGTACTTAAGCCTGGGTGACAGAGTGAAACTGTGTCTCAAACAAACAAACAAACAAGCCCACAGTTTAATGTGTGTTACAACATACATGCTGCAACTTTTTTGAGTATTTTAAAGATATGAATTCTAAAAGATTGTTTTTAACTTGTAAATGCTAAATAAAATATTTAAAATACATGTTAAGGTAAGTATTCAGTATTTTTAAAGAACGCACATTCACTGCTTCAACTTAGCCTAACTTTGGTATTTGGAATTCATATTTTGGAAGGCACAGTAGACTTGATCATTTTCTTTTTTTTTTTAAAGTTTTTTTATTTTATTTTATTTTTTATTTTACAGACAAGGTCTCTATATCACCCAGGCAAGAGCGCAGTGGCTATTCACAGGCACGATCATCGTGTACGACAGTCTCAAAGTCCTGGCCTCAAGCAATCCTCCTGCATGAGCCTCCCAGGTAGCTAGGATTACAGATAGATGCCACCACACCTGGCAACTTAATCTTTTTCTATTGTACTCTAAATTTCTGGGGGAAGACAGACTCATTTGAAATGCGTGTGTATTTATCTTTAATATTTTTAAAACTATCAGCATTTTCAGCTGTAACAAGCAGGGATTAAGCATCCAACTATAGAGGTTTTAAACAGTGAGTACAATCACAATAAAGGGATTGGTGATTCAAAGGCAGGCTCAGAGAGGCATGACCCCTAGCAATGTCTTATTGTATGCATTTTTTTACCCCAACTAAAAAACATGGATGCCTCATAAAGTTTCTTGTAAGTGAAATTATTGTTACTCCTGTGACTTTTCATCTAAGGATTGGGACTAGCACGGAAAAATGTAAACAGTAAAACAGAATGGGAAGAAGTAGCTAGTCATTTCTACCTTTGCGAATTAAAAAAAATACCTCTACAGTCAGAATCAGTCATATCTTCAAATAGGGGCCGATTTCCTTGGTCAATGAAGAGAACTTGGTCATTCAAATTTCTTATGATTGATAATTTAGATTCAAGCTTGCCAAAGTAATCTGATTCCAGGTTTTCTACAACAAACATGAAATCTCATTAAAAAACACAAACTTTCTTTGTTAATTGACAAATAAGTATGCTATATAGTTTAGTTTTCTAAAACTGTTAATGACAATCTTCTGTTCCAGAAGTAGCTACAATAAAGTTGCCTATTGTTTTTTAACCTACTCTCAAAGGCACACTCAATTTCTTGTTACCATTCAGAACTACTCTGCCACTGAAGTGTTAACTTCAAATATCCTACTTTCTGACCAGTCTTTTACCCTTTTAGTTTTCTTACACTTTTACTCCAACTCTATGTGTTCTTAAGTTTCACAACATCTTCCAGTCTTCTGACTCTTGTATTTCCTCTCTAACCTCTTCCTGTCTTCCCTTTCTTCCCTGTGCAGCTGGACCTCAGAGTTCATTTTGTCCACCATTTTGCCAGGATATTAAATCCCTAATTTATTTGTCTTCCTGCTACAAAACTCCAAACTTGGCTGCTGAGTGCTGCTGGCGAACAATGGCACAAGTGTTCGAATCAGTGCTGTTACAAGCATATCAATTGTCAATACTTCTTTTGTTTTCCAGTTCAGCACTCTCTTCCATAGTTGATAGCCGCAATTTCAAATTTTGTTTACTCTCTTCAGGGCCTCTACAGCATCATCTCTGTTTTCATTTTCAGCAAATGATTTCCTGCTACTCTACGTACAAATTTAACTCTGGCAGTACCAGTTATTTCCTCTCTCTCTTGTCCCAAGGGGAAATGCAAAGGTGCCATTGCTGGTATCTAAGGTTGATCCCATTTGTGCTCGGCATGTACCCACTACTGAAGTTTTGATTTGCCAATCATCCTTTCTCTTCTATTAACCCAGCAATTCTACCTCCTGGGTTTTATCCTAAAGAAAAAGTCACACAAATGTGTGAACATTTTTGTACAGGAATGCTTATGGGAACATTGTTAATAAAAATAAACTAGAAACAAACATTCACCAATTAGGAATTGATTAAATAAAAAGGGCAAAGATATGCCCTTATTGTGAAATATCATGAACTTAATATAACTGCAATTACTCGTTGCCATGGAGAGATGTCCATATATATCACTAACTAGAAAAAGCAGCTTAGGTATAGTACAATCCCTTTTAATAAAAATATAAGCATTTCTTCCATATATATATATAGAAAGAAGTGTAGAAATATTGAAATATTGCATCAAAATGGTAGCTATGATTATTTCTGGGTGGTTTTTATATTTTTATCTTTCATATTATTATCTTTTTTCTTTTTTTTTTTTTTCTGAGGCAGAGTCTCGCTCTGTCGCCCAGGCTGGAGTGCAGTGGCCGGATCTCAGCTCACTGCAAACTCCGCCTCCCAGGTTTACGCCATTCTCCTGCCTCAGCCTCCCCAGTAGCTGGGACTACAGGCGCCCGCCACCACGCCCAGCTAGTTTTTTGTATTTTTTTTAATAGAGACGGGGTTTCACCGTGTTAGCCAGGATGGTCTCGATCTCCTGACCTCGTGATCCGCCCGTCTCGGCCTCCCAAAGTGCTGGGATTACAGGCTTGAGCCACCGTGCCCGGCCTATTATCTTTTTTCATTGCCTGAATTAGTTATAAAATGAACACATTATTTTCATAATCAAAAAAGCACAAAGCTCTTTATTTTGAGATTTAAAACTGCTCCATCAACCCAATCTCACTTTGCAGCTAGTCTTGTTTCTCTCCTCCTTTTAACAGCCGAGCTTTTAGCAAGAATTGTCTGTATCCTTTCTTCACTTTCCATTCACTGTTTCACTCATTGCAATCTGCCTCTGCCTCCATTTCGCCATCAAGCTGCTTTCACTGAGATCACCAAACTCCTTGTTGCTGAATCTAAAAGCTGTGTTCTGGCCCTTGATTCTCAAGGCTGCAAAATTCAACACAACTCCTATCCCCTCAATCTTAAAATGCTCTCCTGGGAGTCAGTGGAATTCTCTTGGTTCTTCTTCTTCCTTTTTGGTTAGTCTGCTCTCTGTTCTTTATTAGCTTCTCTTTCTACTGCATCCTTTAAATGTAGGTATTCCTCTCAGTTTAGTACTTGGCTTTTACTCTCTCACTCTACACATTTCCTCTGATTTGTCTTTTTATTTCTATAGATTCAGATGCCATTTCTATGCATAAGCCTTCAATATCTCTATCTCCAGCCCAAATCTTTGTCCTGAGCTCAGAACCACATGTAGAAGAGTTTATTGGACATCTCCACTAGGATGTTCCACAGATATCTCAGATCCAAAACTAAATGTGTCATCCATCCTCCTCTTTGTATACACCAAAACCTGCTCTTCCTCCTGTGTTTCCTATTTCATTGAATGGTACAAATTGCCCAAGTGAAAAATGTAGGCATCATCTTTTCTACTTTCTTCTCCTTTCCAAATCTAACTTTAAATCATGTCCTACTGATTCTCTCAAGTGTTTCTAAAATCCATTCACAGCTCCTCATCAGCACTCCATTATGTCTACCTTAATTTATGACACCATCATTTCTTGTAAGAACTAAAATAGCCTCTCAACCTTTAATTTTGTCCTCCTCACCCCACACCATTAATTCTTTATACCAAAGCCAGAATGATATTTTTAAAAATATATTATTTCTGAATTTTAAAGAGTCATATGGCTACCTGGAATAAAGATTATATTTTCCAGATTTCCTTGCACTTGGTGTGGTCATGTGATTAGATTCTAGTCAATGGAATATGAGGGGAATTGATGTATATAACTTCCAATTAGAGTCTTTGAAAGGAATGAGCCTGACTTCTCTTATCTTGACCCTTTCTTGATAACTGGGATATGAACCCAGGAAGTATGATGATTTTCAACTATGTGTATGAGATAAACAACTGGGGGATGATGGGTAACAAGACTGAAGAAAGTTGGGGTCCCAATATCATCAGGTTGCTTCCAGCCATACTACTTCGGAGCTGCCTACTTAGACTTTGAGAAAAAATTATCTGTCTTATTCAGCTACTGTGTCTTTGGATGTCTTTGTTACAACAAACTAATCTTTACCCTAGCTAATACATATTGTGCTTAATTAACCCTAGTATCTCCAAGATAAAGTCCAAATTTCATATCTTGGAGCAAGAGAATGTCTTGCTTTACACCCTGTTTATCACTCTAGCTTCTCTCATTATTCTCCTACTCCTACTCTACTTCCATGCTGAATTACCATGAATTCATCATAAATGCCATGGTTTCTTTCAGATCTTGGCCTTTGAATGTGGTCTTCTTGCCCCACCCATTCCTATCTCCTCTACTTCCAGAATTTTCTGCCCTCCCGTCGCCATCAATCCAGGAGCATCGCAGGCTTCTTCCCAAAGCATTTCTGAGATGAGGTGTTATTGATTTTGGACAATTCTAATGCTTCAATCCCCTTTTCCTATGCAATGCCTCCCCACCGGCAACAGAATCCATGACTCCCTGCTAATCTTAGGACCTATGAAACAGGCAAAGTCTATTTTGTACGTTCTAAGAGCTGGAAAATGTTTTAAGACGTAGAGAAGCATCTTTTGCTAGAGGTTCTTCTTTGTATCTCTTATGACCATCTTCATTCCAAAGCTGTGCTACTGAGTCCACATTCCTTTGAGGGTAGATGGGCTTTCCAAAAAGATGGCTATCACGTGAACCATTTTTTTCCTCAGCTGACAATGTTGATATAGATGTGTCTCAAGCAGATACTTAGTTTGCAAAGAAAAATAAATTCATTTATACTTTACCATCATCTTCAGCTAAGAGGGGGAAAAAAAGAGAAACAGAATATGTAAAATTTTGTATTTCGACTCAGAATTTCATCTCATTCTAGTTTTTACTTTTGTTACTCCTCTTAAACTCTTATTTTTATAGTAACGGTCTGTCTTGGCTTTCATCAGAATATTATATAATCATCCAAAAGGCCCATAAAATGAAGCTTATTAGACTTAGTGTGTTCTCAGGTAATTTAGACATAAAACTTAAACCCAGGGTTTAAAAATTTCAATATGTAACTAAAAATAAATTTTATAAAATGAGAGATTTTACTTTTGAATTTATTGCTTAAATGGAAAGTCATCTAAGAAAAGTCACCTAAGAATTTTTTCTGAAGGTTTTTTTTTTTTTTTGACAGGGTCTACTGTCATGCAGGCTGGAGTGTAGGGATGGGATCATAGCTCAGTGCAGGCTCGAATTCCTAGGCTCAAGTGATTTTCCTGCTTCAGCCTCTGAAGAAGGTAGGCGGTGTCCACAGGTAATTTTTTTCAATTTTTTGTAGAGATGGGGTCTCACTTTGTTGTCCAAGCTTTTAAATGAAGGTTTCAAATGAAGGCAAACTTTCAAATGAAGCCGTATTGTTCACAGAAGATTAATCATAAAAAGCAATTTTTAGGCCATGTGTGGTGGTTCATGCCTATAATCCCAGCACTTTGGGAGGCTGAGGCAGGAGGATCATCTGAGGTCAGGAGTTCAAGACCAGCCTGGCCAACATGGCAAAATGCTGTCTCTATTAACAATGCAAAAAATTAGCCAGGTGTGGTGGGATGCACCTGTAGTCCCAGCTACTCAGAAGGCTGAGGCAGGAGAATCGCTTGAACTCAGGAGGTGGAGGTTGCAGTGAGCAGAGATCAGGCTACTGCACTCCAGCCTGGGCAACAGGAAAAAAAAAATGAATCAATTTTTACTTGTGAAACATATTTACATAAAATGGTGTAACTCATAGAACTCTAAATTTAGAGAATCTCTTACATAATTTGCCAATTTGCTTTGGGAAATTGTATTTCCTGCATGCACCCAGTTTTGTACTGGGATTTTCCCATGAAAACTGGGATTTTCATGATGTGCACTTACTGCCACCTGAAGAGTGAGCTACTGCTAATTAAAGTGCCAGGACATGTGGTGTGACAAAGTGCTGAGACCTTGGACATGTTATGGTTAATTTCTAGAGTTCCACTATTTTTTTAAGAGCCATTAATATTACAATAAAATTTGGTGACAAAAAGAATCACTTAACAGTTCACCTCACAACATCTTTTCTAGTTAAATAGATTTATCTGAACTTGGTATTTGTTCTATGGCATTAGCCTTACCTATAAAGTAAAGCGTACTGTCAATAAATTTCATTGCCACAAAATTGATGCAATTGTCTTCTGCTGGTTCAGCAGCCATCTTTATTCCTAATGAAAGCAAAGAGCATCTGTTAAGAGACAATGATTGTACATTTTACTACTACTTTATACTACCTTCAAGTTCAGTGGTCAGTTAATCACCTAGTATACTGATGAACAATCTTGACATTTAATAAATGCCAGAAGTTTCAGCTTATGAATACCTATGTTTAAATGTTCTCTTACAAATCATCAGATATTTGGAATACAGAAAGCATTTTCTCATTAAACAATATTATATAGGGTAGATAAATGGCCCACTACTGAACTGAATCATTATTCTAGTATTCCTTGAGAAATATAAATATTCCTTGAGAAATATAAATATATTATTCAATATAAATACAGCTTCATCTGAGGATGCCAGAAACACATCTAATCCTGCCTTTTAGGAAGGACGGGCTTCATCCTTCTCTTACAACAGTGGGTTCCTACGGGTGAGAGGCTGAAGGTTTGTGACTTCATTGTCAAAGTGCTAAAGGTGAAACAATGATTAAAAAAGTGCTTCCACCTGAGGGTACAGGCAGGGTGGGAGAAGGCTGCAGGGCTCTGGCATTTGATGGCCCTTTCTCCCTGAGCAGCAGTGGTTTTTGATCTGGAGTCTAGATTATACTATGTTTTTTAACACAGGTAATATATAATCACAATCTTGCTGTAAAATCAAGGTATACAGGATTTGAAAAAATTTTAAATCCTCTTTGTTCTTCCTTTCTGCCCCTCTTTCAATATGGCGTGCAGGTTTCCAGAATTTTGTTATGGAATAGGAATTCTCAGCGTGAGAAATCTGTGAACTTGGATGGGGAAAAAATACACATGTATTTTCACCAACTTCTGAAATTTAGCATTCCTTCCATGATTAGTTGCAGGAAACAAACCACAGTATTATTAGTAGTACGTGTGACTCTGTCATTAATAGAAATACCTATTTTCTATTGTGCTACAATTATTGCAGAGATCTTGAAAATGGTTTAAACTCATTACTACTTTGAAATTACAAAAGTTTAGTTCTCATAGTAGATCTTATTATTTAATATGTTGGTAAAAAGGCACATATATGCTGCATCGAAATTTGTTTAAATTAAATGGTATGCAGGAGAGTATTCATAAATCTGTGCTCAAAATTTTTCTAGCATAATATGAGGCCCAGCACGTATGGTAGAGTAAGCAGGAATTTAAAACTCAGTTTAAAAAATATTAATCTGAATTAAGTTAATCCCAAAATACTTGTTAGTTGGTGTTATATAACAGTTTTGTCTAGATTTAGTTCCTTATACACATCCAAATGTGGATGGTTATTAAATTTATTTTATTTAATAAGTTTACATAAAATAAAATCTTATTAAACATTAATATTTAAATTTACAATTTATTTTTTCTTTTCTGCATTGTTTTTTATTAAATGAGTTTCATATCCAGTTTAAAAGGCAAATGTAAACATGCTTTCTTAAAGATGTATCATAAGCTGTTTTCTTTCAGTGAACTGAAGTGTTTGACAGAGAAGTAAATGTTAAAACCATGTTATCAGACATGTTACTTTCAGCTTTGTACTTATTATGACAAGTTTACATATCAAGTTTTTTTGTATTTTTATTTTACTTGTATAAATTTATGGGGTACAAGTATAATTTTGTTTCATGGACATATAGAGTAGTGGTGAAGTTAGGGTTTTTACTGTATCAATCACTGGAATAACATACTTTGTATACAATAAGTAATTTCTCATCCACCTCCCTCTCACTTCCCCCACCTTTTGAGTCTCTACTGTTTATCATTCTATACTCTGTCTATGGATCCACACTACTTAGCTCCCACCCATAAGTGAGAACATGAGGTATTTGCCTTTCTGTGTCTGAGTTGTTTCACTTAAGATAATGGCCTCCAGTTCCATCCATGTTGCTGAAAAAGAGATGATTTCATTCTTTCTTCTGGCTGAATAATATTCCATTGCATATATGCATACACACACACCATATTTTGTTTATCCAACCATCAGCTGATGAACACTTAGGTTGATTCTATATCTTTGCTATTGTGAATAGTGCTGTAAATAAACATACAAATGCAGGTATCTTTTTGATATAATGATTCCCTCTGGGCAGATATGCAGTAGTGGGATTGCTGGATCAAAGGGTAGTTCTATTTTCAGTCATTTGAGAAATCTCCATACTATTTTCTAGAGAGGTTTTAAAAATTTACATCCCGCCAAGAGTGCATAAGTGGTCCCTTTTCTCTGCATCCTCAACAACATGTTTTTTTTTTTGTAAAAACAGCCATTCTGATTGGTGTAAGATAGTATCTCATTGTGGTTTCAATTTGCATTTCTATGATGATTAGTGATGACAAGCATTTTTTCACATGCTTGTTGGCCACTTGTATGACAGGATTATTTGTTTTTTTGTTGTTGAGCTGTTTGAGTTCCTTGTAAATTTGAGCTATCAGTCCCCTGTCAGATGTATAGTTTGCAAGTATTTTCTCCCATTCTGCAGGTTGTCTATTTACTCTGTTGATTATTTCTTTTGCTGTATAAAGGCTTTCTAGTTTAATTAAGTCCCATATGTCTATTTTTGTTTTTATTGCCTGTGCTTTTCAGGGCCTGGCCATGAATTCTTCATCTAGACCAATGTCCAGAAGAGTTTTCCCTAGGTTTTTTTTTTTTTCTATTTTATAGTTTCAGGTCTTACATTTAAGTCTTTAATCCATCTTGAGTTGATTTTTGTACATGGTGAGAGACATGGATCCAGTTTTTTTCCTTCTGCACCTAGCTATCCAATTTTCCCAGCACCATTTATTGAAACTGGTGTCCTTTTCCCATTGTATGTTCCTGTCAGCTTTACTAAAAATCAGTTGGCTGTTAAGTATGTGGCTTTATTTCTGGGTTCTCTATTCTGTTCCACTGACATATGTGTCTGTTTTTATACCAGTACCAGGCTGTTTTGGTTACTATAGCCTTACAGCGTAACTTGAAGGAGGTAAAAATTTTTTGATAACTCTGTTCTAATATAATAGGTTTTCTTTATACAGCTAAGCATTTAATTTTATGTCTACAAAAACATTGTTCTGAGAAGGAGTCCACAGTCTTCATATTTCCCATGAAAGTCCATGCCACAAAAATGATTAGGAAGTCCCTACACTAGAATTCAGCAGTACCTTGGGTTTCTGAAGGCAGTTATGTTTGGGGCTCTAAGGAAGGTAAGTGAGTCACAATTGTCAATGGCACATAGAGGAGTAGCCATAAAACTGTGCTCATAGGTAGAGAACTGACTCAAATTCTTTCTAAGATAATCTAAAAGCAAGCATATATGGTAGAATAAACAGGAAATTAAAACTCAGTTGAAAAAACTTAATGCAAATTAAGCTGACCCCAAATACTTGTGAGCTGGTGGCTATTTAACAGGTTTATTTTCTTTTTTAATAGAGATGGGATCTCATTATGTTGCCCAGGCTGGTCTTTAACTCCTGGACTCAAGCGATCCTCTCTCCTTGACCCCCCAAAGTGCTTGAGATTACAGGCATGTGTCACTGTACCCAGGCCTTATTTAACAGTTTTATCTAGATTTAGTTCCTTATGCTCATCTAAATGTGAATGGTTATTAAATTTATCTTATTTAAGTAACATTTTTTTTGTTTTTTTGAGATGGAGTCTTACTCTGTCACCCAGGTTGGAGTGCAGTGGCGCGATCTCAGCTCATTGCAACATCCACCCCACTCCTCTCACCTGGGTTCGAGCAATTCTCTCATCTTAGCCTCCCAAGTAGCTGGGACTACAGATGCGTGCTACCACACCCAAGTAAGTTTTAGCACGTTTGGTAGAGATGGGGTTTCACCATGTTGCCCAGGCTGGTCTCGAACTCCTGAGTTCAAGTGATTTGCCTGACGTGGCCTCCCAAAGTTCTAGGATTATAGGCGTGAGCCACCATGCCTGGCCAAAAGATTTAAATAAAATAAAAACTGATGTACGAATAAATTTAAATAAACGTTTAAATATTATAAAATTTAAATGTTTATCAAACATTTAAATATAAATATTAAATATTATAAAATATTTATAATATTTAAATTTATAATTTAGAATTATCACCTAGTTTTTTAAAGGAGGGGATAAGGAAGATTCTTAGAGAAAAATAATATAGCAAAGGATGAAAAGATCGCTGAGATAAGTCTAAACATTTTTTACCAAAACCCAAACCAACTTTAATATTAAAAATCAGAACAATAATGACTAGGCTTTGAGCTCCATGAGGGCATTTTCTTTATTTACCTTTATGGCTTCATTGCTGAACACAGCCCTGTTATCAGCATCAGGAGGTGTTTGTTAATGACTGAATTAACTGAGAAGGCAGACATTTGTTAACCTGAGACTCGATGTTTTGATTAGTTATCAGCTGGTGAAATAATGACTAGCATGATCTTCTCTACAAACTTTAATATTATGTAATACACACATATTTATTAAAGTAATTCACCTGAAATGTACCAAGTAGTATCGGCAGAAATTGGATTAAATTACTGGTGTTTACTATTTTCAGTACATAGTCAGTGAGTGAGTGGATTTAGAGAAGGACAATATTTGAGCTGATTCACCAGTTAAGGCTTGAGCATCAGCTATGCATCAGGAATGTGGCCAGTAGCTGACCAAACCACACATGAATGAGGGTAGTTAGCTCCTACCCTCCAGTGACTCAGAATCTAGTGGGAGAGAAGAATCTATAAAGAGTTACAAAATAATATAATGAATGCTGTAAGAGCTGAATTTACAAGATTCTTTCTGTTTGATAGTGCTGGAGAACGTTACCACAGAAGTGATGACTGTGCTGCCTTGAAAGAGAAGCAGGCATTTTCAAGGCCAGGGGAAGAGCTTCCACCAAGAAGCAGCAATGTGAACAAAGGCTAGGCAGCAGGGAGACTGAGAGAACGTGGGTTGTTTGAGGCCTCAACATTTTTACCATAAATAAGGCAAATGCAGTCACATTTTACAGAAAGAATGCATTTCTAAAGATCTCACATAGTTC